AACCTTACTAAGTAAAACCCAGTGGGAAAAAAAAACTTAGTAAGGAAAAAGAGTACAGCACCGGCCAACAGGGCCTAATTTTTAGGATTACAATTAGCCTTCCGGGCTCGATCTTCAGGATTTATTTATCACTCCCCCTGAAGGCAAGAGCCTTTCCAGTTACATTTATAAATTTTTGTTGCTCCCCCTCAAGGTAAGAGTATCTACATAAAATCGTCATTGGTTGCTCTTCCGGAGTTAATATGGATTCAAAAATATTCAAAAATATCATCAAATGTATTTCCATAATTTATTTGTGTAACACAAACTAAGTTATCGTCAAGATAAATATGGGGAAGTTTCAATAACCAATGGTAAGAGTTAATACCATTTGAGAGGTATATAACCAATCGAGTATCCAGTACTTTGGAAATCAATTATACACTTGATGTCTTTATCCACCAATATCATATATCAAGTCCAAAGATAACTCAACATACATGAAAGCATAATAGGATATTCTCAGTTTATCACGATCTCTTTAAGAAGAGAAATAGTAAATATTGCTAGCAAATTCATCACAAATACAGTATCAGGCCTGATGCAGTTTGTGTGATAAAAGTTAAGCACAATTGCGCTTAGTAAATAAACTTCAAGTCGTTTGTGGACTTCAAGTCCATTGGAACTTCAGGTCCTATAATATCCTCATTTGTTTCTTTGGATCTTTGTCAAATTCCAAATATTTGACACTCATTGGTGTTATAATTTTATATCACTAAAAGATATTCAAGTAGATTGGTTGGGTATAAATACTCCTTCTAGGAGATGCTCGATCTACAAGTCGAGATAATACTCTTTGGTATTTAATCAAGAGTTTCATTCTAACTCCGTCTATAAGCATGAGCCAACTTATTTAATCTTTTATATAGTGGCCACCACATAATCTATTTGATCGAGATGATCATTTTGTATATTATCATTATACACAAGGTTCTACCTTGAATTACATACTTTACTTCTTCAGGAAGAATTTAGTTGGTTGTACCACATCTTACCAACAACTTCAAATAATTAAACTATTTATTATTTAATTATCGTTCATCTCGGGTACTCGAGCCCATCCAGGACTTTTCACATATGACTTGATAGTCATGTTAATGATACTGCCATAAATATTAACTTGCGGAATCATTGCTAATGAGAGAACTTACAAATATTTGGGTCTCTGCATAAACCCATGAGCATAATCTCGCTATATTTACATCATACCACCACATCACATGTTTCATATAAATATTCATTATCCTTCTTGGATATGCTATCCTCCTGGGATATATCGTGTAGCGAGTGAAAGCTCTGCCTCAATTTTTCTTTCTATCTCAATCAACTTAAGCGCTTCTAGCACTTCTATTCTTTTGATCCGGATCATTATTTGAGATAGTTAAAAAATCACATAGGCAAGTATGTTGTCGACAACTGATATTCAATTTATATTTTTCTCTCAACCATTTGATAGCCATATTTATAATCATTTCCCGTAAAATCTAATTTTGGCCGTTCCGCATTTTCAGTACTATAATGGTTTGATGCACGTGCAAGATGTACTGGATCAACTCTTCAAGAGTTTATTATAAAGGAGTGTTATTCTTGAATATACATTTTCCGCGGACTTTCATACATCATATTAATTATATCACCTTATGCTTCAAACATTAAGGAGTCAATCATTCCCTAGAGAATTTGCTTGTCAATCATTCCCTAGAGAATTTGCTTACTTTGTGGTACATCTATATATTTACAAATAGGTCACTCCATTATAACTATAGATTTCGCTTGGTAGAAGTATAATATGAACTTCAAGTTCAATTTTTATTGCGTGGTTTGAAATAAAGAAAACATTAATATTTCACATATTTCGCGGCATTAATAAACTCATGCCCATATCTTCCCCTAATGCCGTGAAATCATCTTCATATATTATGCCAAAAACGTACCAAGTAATAAACTGATCCCCTATAATGGCCTCTAGGTATTAAAAATTCGACGGAGTATAAAAATCATATCATACCTAGCTTGTAATATAGGCCCATAAATGTACGAATTGATGGTGATATAAAATGGTGCATAATAAAATGACAATAATTTGCAGATGGGAAATATTCAACTCTCCACCATTTTGGGGGAAAATTGTCATAAATAATTGCCCAATATGATCCAACTGCTCATGCTACTTATCAAATATATAAGTTGGACATCGAAGTATAATAATTCATTTCTAAGTGAACACTATATGCTTCAGGCAATACAATTGAACTTTGCTTGTTAGCCTTTTATTGTAGCTATCAACAATATTATATGCTTCGGGCACTACATATAAATTTATTATTGTAGCTATCAACAATATAAGTGAATGGTATGCATCTTATCAAATATACAAACAAACATAAATAATTTCAGAATACTTATATATTGATCCAATCTTTGTAACGTTCTGGTTACATCACTTCATTAAGAATATGTAGAGCTGATCTAAAATCAAAATATCATAAATTTATCCAAAAATCAACCAGATTATTTTCTAGATCAATCTTTCAAAGATACTCACTAGATAGTTCTAATGCAATTATGATACTGGTCAACAGGACCAATCCTTCAAAGATAACCAAATCTAGGTCTGTATTCAAATTCACTACTGATACTATTAATTATATAATCTTCCAGGGAAACTCAAATCGATAAGCATAAAATTCAACAGGATATTTTTTCTGCAAATAATGATAAGATTAAAAAAAATAACTATACAAATTGCATACCTTCATTGGTTCACCATCGAAAATAATCCTTATCTCGAGAATAATGTCTGCTTGATATATCTTACATGTGTTACCACTTTCAAATCTTAACAAGTAATGTGAAGAATAATCGGATACATATCGAACAAGAGATGCTCATATAAGACAATTAAATCAATGAAACATATAGTCATATAGAAGAGAGATAATTTTCTATCATATATCTCATGTAACAAATTATACTTTTGTACTTGTGCTTCTGGCACTAATACAATTTCAATGAACTACTTTTATTACTATTCTTAATATATTGCGCCCATGAGTATTGATTTGGTTGGATTACATTATTCTCATGTATTACTGCAGAAATACAAATGTTCGTTCCATTTTTGTGATGTTTTCCGTAGTTATTTTTATGTTCATTTTCCCCATTTTAGGTGTTTCTCTTTAGTTTTGAGTCCGTTTTCGTTAGCCTTTGGTTTGCTCGTTATTTGTTTTGGTTTCCCGTTTGTTTTTCTCTTTTTCCGTGTTTTTCTTGTGTATCGTGGTGCGTAGGTTCAATGGGTCGATTGACTTTTCGATGGAAGGAGTTAGTGTTCGTGCAAGGAGGCAAAAATCGGGTCAAGAAGGTGAAAAAACGGAACCAAAAACGCAAAAGAAAAAATTCCTGGACTGCAGCAAGAAGTCGCGGCCGCGGGACCCAAAGTCGCGGCCGCGAGATGCTAAAATCCCAGTTTTTTTTTTTTAGGGGACATTTGAGCTCGGAAATGGTGACTAGTGCCCTAAAATCCGGGAGTTTTGTGGCTAATGAGGAGGAAATCATAGGGAAGGGGGAAGAGGATGTCTTTTGGTCCCTTTGAAAGGTCCCAAGACCACTTCTTGGAGAGAATCTATCTCATTACCATCTTCTCTCTTCATCCATCACTCTCCTTCATGATCATTCTACTCTCTCTCTCACATTTTTAGTTTAGTTTTGGATGTAATTTTTAGCTGCTTGGAAGAACACATTGATCTTGTTGTGTCAGGAGCATTTATTGGCAAACTCTTGGCATTGTGGATTGACATTGAATTCAAGTTTATTAGTAAGTTTTTTCCTTTTCATTTGATTATGAAGATGAGTACTTACATTGGTATGGATTGTTGTGTTTATTTTGCCATGAGTAGCTAAGTTAATTGCTAGGGGAAGGGGATAATTATTCCGGTTTAATCTCGTTTATTTGCTTGTTATTAGCTCAATCTTTACGAGTTTGACTAATTATATGATTGAATGCTTGATCACCATTGTAATCTAATTAATCGATGTCAAAACCGAGAGGGGAGAAGTCGGTGGAATTCGGCTCGTAAAGAGTAGGCATATCCGGAGACGTGTTGCCTATGTGTTGATTGTTTCGTTTTATTGCTCGTTTATATTTTATTTGTCTACCGCGTAATGCTATGATGGTTAAATCGTTAAATGAGTGTATGAGTCGAGGCCTTTAACCGAGTAATTGTCATTCATTGAAAGTGAGGTTGAACCGGAGACGATTATCCCCGATACCCTAGCTCGCTCGAATTTGAAAGTCATAATTGTGTTGCAATTTGCTACTTCCTTGTTTTATACTTGTTAGTAATTTATTTTCTAGTCGATAACTAAAACCCCCGAAAAATTGGATTAGAGTGTTTAGGCGTAATTTACTTTTTCGTGTAATTGAATATCGCGTAATTATATCCGGCTAACCTTCCTTGAGAACACGACCCGGTGTCCGAATCCTTTGATTCTACTCCGGTTAAATACTTCAACAACAACAAACTGTTCATAACAAATCACAAAATATTCGATAGTATCTTAATTCAAAAGTAGTCATCAAGACTACCAACAGTACTCATTCTAGATACTTGTATCGGTGTTGATCCTTCAGAGAGTATATCAAAACTTTAATGTGAATTATGGGAGATACTTACATCGGTGTTGATCCTTCGGGGAGTATATAAAAACATTATTATTAACTTATAGAAGATCCTTCAGGGAATGTATAAGAAATTCATTGTCAACGTAACTACAAACTGAAATATTGATTGACATCTTATAGACAACCGGTACAATGTTATAATATTTAGTATTAGTGTCCTACTAGGACTATTAGTATTAAATTGAATCTTAAACGAGACAAGCATCTGATATGAATCAAAGATATAATGACTCTCCATAAATATTAAATTCGCAAATAACGGGTTCCCAACAAATAAATCATGTCACCAGTCATTCTATTAATCAATACCAAAAATAATCATCTTATACATGGTAATGAAATTTCAAATAAATCAGAAACATGGCATAATGCATATCAATCATAAGGCGTGGCAGAAAATTTGAGTGAACTATGGGGCCCGCAATTCTGAATTGATCACAAGTCTCGAAACTGAATGAGATCAACGCACTAAATCCAAATATTCACCACTAAAATTCATTCGAATTTAAATCCAAATTAACACACTGAATCATTCACATGAATTTATCCAATTCAGCCAATGAATAATCACTTTAAAAATTAAATCCATTGAATCCATATATCAAAACCATGCAACAACTAATTGAATTTGCTATGTCAGTAGGTCCCATTAATTCAACCAATCAAACATCAAAAAACCTATGCTCAACCAATTCAATTAAATCGAATTAATTTAACAGCAACTAAATCAATTCAATCACAACAATTAAATCAATTCAATCTCACAAGCATGAACATGCGATTTCAGGAAATCCAATTAATATTTAAGATGAATCCACATATCACAAATCAATTGAATATAATTTATACGTACTGCACTTACGCCAGAGACATGCACAATTGAAACTGAATCCAATTCCAATCTTATGATTCGTATATGCAGCCAAACCGAAAGCAATATATATGAAATTAATAGATCATTATTGATATTGAATAGATCTTAAATGTTACCTTCATAGAAAAGACACGATTCTTTTCTAGGGCATACATCAATTCTTGATTTTTACATTGATTGCTCGGTCGTCTTTGATGTCGCCGCCGTTCGCTTAGATGGTAGAGTACTCGTGCTTGATTGCCCGTTTGTCTTGATGCCACCGCCGTTCACTTAGATGGTAGAGTACTCGTGCTGATAACGTGTTGTAAATTGAAATCCTCAAGCATTCATCAATCCACACCAACGAGCGAGAGAACAAGAGACAGAAGAGCAGAAAAGTCTATCATTACAGAAAAGCAGAAAAGTCTATCATTTTATTCATCGTATATCACCCTTTTAAAGTGTTTACAAGTGAGAAGTCCTAAAACCTAATTTTCCTAACTAATGGACTTCAGGCCCAATTATCGATTAGTAATGTCCATATACATATATTTATAACAGATTATACATAAATGAACCTACCTGATAGCAGCNTTCTCAATTTACTTTACTATGATAGGAGTTGTAGTTCTCTATTTCTTGGTTTATGCCTTAATTTGCAAAAAAATAAAAGGCATGCCTTAAGTTGCCATAATTGAAATATTGTGCTTAAATTGCATTCAAGTAGATGTTGTGATTCATTTTACAAATAAATCAAAATTCAATTCATAATACTATTTTAATTCAAACTAATACAATACCCGTGTATTATATTGGTGCTTGTTAAAAAAACTCTTCTTAAATTTTAAAAGTAATGAGAGTTGCTTTAAAATTTAAATAGTTTCTATAAAAAATATATATAATTATATATTTTAGAATGACACTTGTTTTTGTGCGACTTACATGTTTTATATTATAATAATTTATTTAACTTATATCATCTAACTACTTTAAATATAAATATATTAATTGATAAATAATTTTATTTTTTTAGTTAATATTAATAAATAATTATACTATTATCATAAATATAAATATAAATATAATTTATTTATTTTATACATACAATATGGATGTCAAACGAAATTCATCAAGAAATGATTAGTTTGATATATTATGAATGTAAAACCATTAAGAAATACAAAAGTTATCAACTTTTAAAATACCTTTACAATTTAATAGTTATAATAGAAGTTGATATTAAAATGCAATTACTATATTTAAAATAATCATAAATAATCAAGATATTTATGGATAATCTGAACGTAATTATTTTTAGATTGGAAGTAACATGAAGCCTATCACTTAGATTCAACACATTTGAGAATTATAAATAAGGGGGAATTAAATTTCATAAACACAAAGCTGTCGAACATATTCGACTCTAATACAATCCTAAATTACATTGCCTAATAACCAAACTCACCAATCTATGGGTCCTTGAATATAGTCTACACTGAACGAACCGGGTCCACTTTACCTAAACCGGGTTCCACCTCACTCCGGTTTTCTAAACTCAATCCTACTTTTAATTGCACTCCTAATCATAATCTATCTACGGATAAATTCGAATTTCCAATATCTATTTGAGCTACTTTATGTTTTTTGCTTTTTGGCCCTTTTCCTACCTAATAATTAAAAACTAGTCAAACCCTTCAAAAACTCTGAACCGGCGGCGGCAGGCCCGCCCCCTCCGTCTCCACCTCTTTCTTCCGCCGCATCTCCAGCACTTTCCGGTGGTTGTTCGAGTGCTGCTCGTTCGAAAAACTCGGGCTACAGGCGGGCCTGTACTCCGGCAGCAGCCGCCCCGACTTGTACCTCACCCCGCAAGCATTGCAGAGAGTCTTCGGGCCAAGCGGCCCGGCCCTCCACTGCGGCGTCTTGGTAACCCCGCAGTGAGCGCACCTCCTCTGCCCCGCCGAAGCTCCGCCGCCCGACTTCGCCCTCCTGGTGCTTGGCGGTGGAAACGAGGTGGTGGTGGAGACAGAGGAGCTCGGCGAGGCGTCCGGCCCGGCAGAAGAGGGGGAGAGAACGGGCCAGACGCGAACCCCAGTTCGGGCCCTCTTCGTTCGGGCCTTGGTCTGAACCGGAGTCGTCAAGCACTCCGATCCGGCCGGCGGCGTGGGGAATTTTCCGGCGAGCGAATAATCCGGCAACGAGTCCTCCACGAAATGTGATAGCCATTCCAGACTCTCCAAACTCTCCCACTGTGAAAAAGAATTGATTTCCTCCAAGAAATTATACCAATTCGAAATAAAAGATAAAAATTGGTGCTTTCCAATTTTGAAATTGAAAATTTCAAAATTTGGGGGTTTTAATTATCTACCTGGAAGCCGAGCTCGCTCTCATGGAGAGTTCCGAAATCGTCTCCGGCGACGAAACCACGGTTCTCCGGTGCCGGCGTTGCTTGCTTCTCAAGGGCGGCTTCTCCGGTCCCGGGTTCATTCCCAGGCGGAGGCGGAGGCGGAGGCGGAGGCTCCTCTGTTTCGGAAAATCCGTTTGAAAAATCGAGGAGCTCGTCGACAAACAAGTCGTCCCCCGGGCAGCCGGCCGAATCACCCGCCGGCGCCGCCTCCGGGTCGAACCCGCCTCCACAACCCAGCTCCATTCCCTACAGGCAAAATCGAAAAACTCTCATGCAAAATTAAGCAAATACATGGCGTACACGTAAATATAAACACAATAAATAAGAAAATTCTGAATCAAAGAGCACCTGAGATGTTAGAAGGAGAGGTGACAGATAATTGAATGATAGAGAAAGAAAGAGTACAGAAAAGGGTGAGGAAGACGATGAAAAAGCACACAGTGACCTAATATACTGCTAAAGAACAGAGATAATATAAAACAAAAAAGAATTACCGTAATAAAGAAAAATTGCCCGTATCTAATTTGAATTTTTGCATTATTGCCTTTGGGCTCATGCGTGATGTATTTTGGATTTACAATTTTTTTTTTCTTTGTGTGTGTGTGTGTGTGTGGTTGGATTACGAATTAAGGCATTTTTTGTTAGAACTTAGAATCCATAATCTTGTTTCGTAACGCTTTTGCTTTAATTTAGTGTAATTTATGTTTCGAGATTATATGGAGTGATTATGCGCGCCACTTATGAAATTTTCTATATGCCCTGCAAAATCCAATCGTGATTATGTATTTTTGTAATTTAATTATCCAAGATATTGATGATATATTCATGTGCCGTGGTTGTGGAAATTGCATATTTTAAATGTGTCTAACCGAGAGCGTGTTTCGATACAAATAAACTAGTCTTTTACTGTTTTTTTTTTTTTAATTATTCACTTGATTAAGTTTTAAAAAGTTTATTTAGTTAGTTTTTAGTGGGATATTAAAATAGTATTTAAAATAAATTATTAAAATTGATTTAATGTAAAAATAAAAGACAAATGATTTGAAGTAATAAGTAGTTAAACTTATGTGAGTGAATGAATAGTGAATTAAAGTTAATGTGGTGTATAAGATAAATGATTGATATTATTTAGTTATATTGATAATATTGAGGATAGTGAGGTTGAGTTAAAATTGAATTAAATTTGAGTTTGAATTAAATATGAACTAGTAATTACCTGTGCGATGCACGGGATGATATATTTCTGAACACCTATAAATATTAATGATTAAATTTAGTGAACTTGTTATATTTGTAAGAAAAGTAAACACGTTGGACGCAAACTACAAAATTCATAAATTATTGAAAACTTCTTTGTACACAACGTTTTTCGTTTGATTTGGCGTCAAGTCATCGTCACCACAAACTAAAATTTTCAAACCAATTCGGTTGGTGATAGGGGATACAGCAACGTATAACTATCCATGGCTGAACACAGACTTCTTAAGGAATAAACCAACATGCGACAAAGATTGTCCCTGACTCTTGTTGATAGTCATGGCATATGATACCATAATAGAAAACTGACGCCTCTGGAACTTGGAAGGAAATCGGACATCGGAAGGAGTAATAGCCATTCTAGGAAGCAACACCTTCTCGCCTGCGTGATCCCCAGTTAGTATCTTACACTCGATAACATGACTGGAGAGTTTTGTGACAACCAACCGCGTCCCATTGCATAGACCCATAGAATGTTCCATGTTACGCAACAACATGACGGGAGTTCCAACCTTCAAATGCAATTGATGATTTGGAATTCCGGAACATTTGATACTATTTAAGACTTCAGGCGTGTGGATATCAGACAGGAAATCGTTATTAGAGTTGGACTTGCAAGTACTATCAGAACTTAAGTACATCTGACCGTCAGATAAATTCAACGATGTCATGTATTCATTGATAGACTCAACAACATCTAGCGTAGGCGCTAATATTGCCCTGTCCTTTAAATAACTGAGATCATCGGTTGCTTGCTTAAACATTGGATAGGTGCTCTCTACAATTTGGGCAATCGGATCATTAGAGGGCCGAAGCATTATATCCTCAGGTATGTCAATCATTGCACAACCATCATTATCCCCTCCTATGATTCCATCTCCAATGCTCGCTATCCATTATGCGAACCGAGCAACCTCTTCACGTTCTTCTGAATTTCTAAGGCTTTCAAGACGCATGTTTTTCGTAAGTCGGAGCACAGTACAACTCCTCCAGATATCAGAAGCATTAATCGCAGCATTCACTATGTCCTGACTGATATTGCAAGAGGATTCCTGGTGGGGATTCAATGGTATTCCAAATCGAGAATGAGCCGTTCGTCCACCAGGCAACAAAAGCGATGCTATTCCACTTGATGCTACGCACAACATTATGCCACCTTTGCATCTAATACCAGCAGATAACGTTCTCCACAAATAAGTGTTGCCCGTTCCACCATAACCGGATACAAAAAAAACACCGCCTCGACCAGAATCAACAGACGACATAATGGTTGAATAAACTCCTTTCTGTTCATCAGTCATTTTCTTAAGAAGCATTTCGTGTTCAGCAGCAAGAGCCTTTCGATCGTAATTTAACTCATCCATAATCAGACGATTTGAACTTGAATGCATACTGTCACTATCCGGAAAGGGCATAATTGAATAATCACTCAGACTTGCTCCACGACGTTTCAGTAAATACTCAATCTCAGCAAGAGCAAGATTTTGGATTTGTTCATCAGTAAGCAACAAACCTAAAACAAAATGATACATAAGCAACAAACCAATATAAAAATAATTGAAGATAAATATTAAAATTTTAAAATTACCATCATTGTTGAATAGTCGACGTTGTCTATACAGAATGTCGTCCGACATAAAGTGCCAACATCTTGTCCATACCTCCTCCGGTCTACCAAATGAATCAGAAACCAACAATGATGCAAACATGCATCTTAGAGAGTCTGCAGATGTCCACTGGCTTGCTTCGGTTATGCCATCGATGTACTCCCTGCCATCGATGATTGAACCGTATATATCGCAACCTCGATGATTCAACCATAGTATAAGCATCAACAGTAAATTGTTGATACAGTCTTCTGGCAGAGATAATAGTCGATGGTTCATGATCCTATCATGCATTCTGTATGCAAAATAGTACCTATCATGCATTTTATATAGATATGGATTTATTTGTATACAAACTCCCAACCTCCTCATTGGATTTTTTTATGTCAAACCATACATATTCGTCTTTATATGTATTTTGATCTGATTGTATGAAATTAGATGAAGACGTTCCATATAGCATAGAGAACTCGATCTTCAATCGGATCTGTTAGGCTTGATTTGATATAATTTATAGTGGGTTTAATTGGATTTATTGGATAAATTGAGTTAATTTTGAACAAACAAAAACATTGAGTTGTTTGAGTGTGATTTTGAGTTTGTATTTAAATAATATTTAAAATACAATGATTAAATTTGACATGATGTAAAAATAAGAGGGAAGTCATTGAAAGTGACGGTAGTTAAAATTTTACGATGTATGAATAGTAAATTAAAATTGATGTTATGTGTGAATGAATGATTGGTACTATTTAATTAGTATTGTAATATAAGTTGAAAAAAAATGTAAAATTTATTAATTAATCAGTTTGTATGATTATATAATCAAAAATATTATATTATTAATTAATATATTAATTACATTTTTATATTAAAAAAGTATATATTTTATAATATATTATATATAATATATTAATTATAACTAATATATTATATTAGTTATAATTATAACTAACATATATACTTAAGTAAGTAACATATTTAATATATAATAATAAATTATATAATTTTTAAATTATTAAAACATATATAAATTATATTTTTTTTATAATCAAATATTTATTTATTATATAAATTATATTAGAATTTAGATATTATGTTATAAATTAGAATTTATTATCTTATAGTTAGAATTTAGAAATTATTATATTATAAATTATATTCATTATGTTATAGAATTTTATTATTATTATGTTAAAACTTAGAAATTATTAGGTTATATAACATAATACTAATTATCTCTAACAAATACTAATGACTAATGTTATTAAAAATTGTAGTCCCCTTTTTTTCTTAAATCCGCTCATTTTTAACTCGATAATAAACTTTAAAATACAAAATAATATTCTTAATTAAATTTGAAATTCATAGATAACAAATTGAACGGAAAAAGTCGGATTCTGTTCGAGCAATTCATTGAGTCCGATTAATTTCGTATGATTAGATCGAATTTTATGACAAGATTGTTTGACACTTTTCTCAGAGTTATATGATTTGTGTGAATATTATAGTAGGAAAAGCATTCAAGCTCATGTTTAATTGAAGTATTAGTGACACTTTCCAAATGCTATGCCACATTATAAATAAACAATTCAATAACAATCAACGCATATGTACTTGGTCTAAAGTCAATCACAAACATAAGTTAAAATTAACAATTCAATAACAATCAACGTATATGTACTTGGTCTAAAGTCAATCACAAACATAAGTTAAAATTAACAATTCAATAACAATCAACGTATATGTACTTGGCCATCTAATTTATAACATAATCATTTCTAATCTATAATACAATAATTTCTACCCACTAACAAAATAGTAATAAATTCTAATTCATAAGACAATCAATTCTAATATATAATACAATAATTTCTAACTTCTAACATGATAGTAATAAATTCTAATTTATAAGATAATCAATTCCAATATATAACATAATAATTTAAAGTAATATAATTTTTTCAAACTAGTATCATTTCTAATTTATAATAATATAATTTATACTAATTAAGTAATTATATTAATAAAGTAATTATACTAATATCATTTTTTAACTGTATTTGTTGTTAGTTCATTTTTTTCTATTATAATTAATTATATCTTATACTATTATAATTTATAATAATTAAACTAATTAATAATATAATTTTTTATATACTAATATAATTTATACTAATTATACTTTTTTACATTATAATTAATTATATTTTATACTATCATAATTTATAATAATTATATTAATATAATATATATTATATAATATATTAAATTTATTAATATATATTTATATAAAATATATATTAATATTATTAAATTATACATATTCATATATATGAATGTATAATAATATATATGAAAATATTAATATATATAATTTAATATATATTAATTTAAATTATTAATATATTTTAATTAT